TTTTAGGTGCCCCCAACCACTAGGCGCCCTAGGCGGCCGCCTAGTTTACCTAAATGGTTGCACCGGCCCTGCCCCCACCCCCAAAGTAACCTTGCAACTCCCTTTTGGGTCAGGAACCCCAATTTGAGAAATGTGGGTCTTCCCTATAAAATCTGTATAATATAAGGTAAAAGCACACAAAAGACCAGATTTCATGCGGGGCGGGGACACCAGATTTCACGGTCCATGACGCATTTTCCATGGCCATGAATTTGGTAGGGCCCTAGCTATAAATCAGTCCATTACAAACTGAGCTTCCATGGCACATCAATATATAGGCATGCAAAGGCTTTTTGCGTTTCCTGGTGCGTGTGTGTGTGGAGTCGGGATAGGGAAGCAGCAGAAAAAGCAAAATCCTTTCCCTGGATAGATATCCCTGCTACCCAGCTGAGTTTTTAACTGGTTGATTTAGCTAGCGTGCCTCTCACAAGTACTATTATCCCACTACTGAAATGCAGCCACTCTGAACCAGAAACATGGCACAGGGGGGATGAATAGCTTACACAACTGAACAACAGTGGTAATTTCTTTGGGCAGGATGCAATGATCAGAATTCATAGATATATGTGGTGGTAATAGCGCAGTTGTTTTGGGCTCTTGATGGGCTTGTGTTAAAAGTGGGAATCCTCCTGACTTCTCACCCTTACCCTCATGACTCTAGAGCAGGCTAACTCGTTCTTTAGACCAAGGCAAGCAGAGCATGGCTCTCTCCCGAAGTGCTCTGATTCACCACATTGACCAGAGTGTTACTGGAGAGTCTGTAGAGATACTGCCACCCCCACCAAATCCTGGCCCTCAGTGCAAAGAATCCAGCTTGGCCCGCTGAATACCATTGAGTTTCCCTTGATGGCCGAGCTTTCAATAAACTGGGAATTGTTATAGCTCTGCCAACACATGATGTACATTTAATTGCTGCCAGTCAAAGTGCACATCTTCTGCTGTGACTCCCAGCTGCTTTGGGGAGGAAGCTGAGCTAATCACGATGTCACCAATACTCCTATGAAATCATTAAAGCCATTATCCCCTTTTATGCTAATTAAATAAAACACTGGGGGAGAGAAATTGAATTTTGGAAGCGCAAAAGCCTCTTGGTTCCTAAAAGTGTCATTCAGTCTCTGCAGTTGTGTAATGACGGCAAGCACAAGAGTGAGCAAAAGTCTGCCCAGACACAGGCACTGTGAGAAGGATTAAAACTGACATTATCCTGTGTAGAATGCTACTCTTGGGCTGCTTTATCCGATGGCTTGTTTAGTCTTGTTCCACCATGTGTTAGCAGCCTTCAGCAATATATGGTGGTGATTACCCTCTCTCTCATCTCACCACTTATCCCCATATCCTAGGGCTAAGGTTAGGTTACAGTTATGAAATGTCTCAGTTGTCTGCATGGAACAATAAGCTGAAAATCGGTACGGGGTTCTGTTAATAACAATGAGCTAATGCCGCCTTTTCTGGTTTTCTTTTGTCGGGGACAGGTGGAACTGGTTTCATTTTTGATTTGTTTTTATGTTCTATCTCTGATCTAAATATGTGCTGTTCACTTTCTTTCCCTGCCAGCTGACCTGGAGAATGAGGAATGGTGTCTGGGTGCAGAATTGACTTCAGCAACAATAAAAACTGAACCTGTGCTGTGTGAGGCACCAGGCCTTACCCCCTCTGTCAGTCTCACCATCACACCTGTACCCCTGGAAGGCGAAGAATCCCAGTTGCAATCTGATGCCATGGTACTTGCATATTTTCTATTCTCCTGCTTGTCCAGATAGATGGAGGTTCCTATAAAGCTTTGCACTGCAGTGTAGTCTTTCTGGTGTGAAGGTTTGAGAATTCCAGACATGCAAAGCATTATGGGTTGGTGTCGTCTCTTGTTTGCTCGTCTCCAACAATATTGTGAGTGCTCATTTTTAAAATGTCTATATAATTCAGCCTCTGGTACTATTAGCTGCTGGCTGCATCATTTGCTTTTCTATACTTACAGCCTCTTCTGGACAGGGTCAAAGCCTGGGGTTCACTCATCTCTAGAACACTTAGTCTCTGATGAATCAGTCCCACTTAGAATTGCTAACCACTTAACCCCTGGAATCTGTGGCAAGATGCACATCTTCTGTTATCCAGGCCATGTTCACAACCAGACTTTCATTGCTCGGTTGCATATCAGAAGTGCTCAGGTGCAAATTAATTCACTTCACAGGAAGCTGAAAGATTTAAGACTGTCCTAACCATCTTGTAGTTTGTGTGAATTCATAATCTCCAGCATGTGCCGCTACTACAGTTGGGATGCCACAATATCACAAGCAGGACCCAGGACCATGTTACTCTTAAAACCTATTGGGTCCTGATTTTTTACTTTTGCTTTGGGCCAAAAAGTTACACAGCAAGATTCTGGCTGTCCTGGCTACTCCAATGAGCAAGACTGACTCACTCGGGTCAGGAATTACAGGCTCACACAGCAGGTCTGACTCTAGCCCTGTGCTCAGCTGTGGGGGCTCCATCTTTCTCAGTATCCCTTTCCAATTCTGGCCTATAACTTTCTTTGCTTGTTCCTTCTCCACTTTGTAAAATGAACTTAGGCCTAATATCCCAGGTCATAGTGACAAGAACCCTGATGCCCCTTCCAGATGGTAACTCTCCTGACATCCTCTCAATAGTACCAAACCCTCCTCCCACCAAAAAGAATACTTCTCTTTTTGCAGAAACCTGCCCAAAGCCTTTGCATGTTGGTCCAGCAAATGCTAGTGCCAGCTCTGTTTCCAAGAGAAGTAATTTGAGTGCAATGCACATTACCTGTCGGTCTGAAATGTCATCCTGAGAAGTAATCTCTTATTTAACAAATTATATCAGTAAGAGAAGCCCCAGCAACTGTTTTTCAGGATAATGGTCTCATTGACCTGGGTTAATACGGTACAGAGAAGCAGTAAAAAAAATCTTGAAGTAGGAGGGGGAAAGAGGTCTGGTCACTTACTGAGAAGCTTCCCTTGTTTCCTTATACTCAAATTTTATTTTTGTTAATTCCTTCTGTAGATGAAACCGTTGAGCCAGAAGGTTCTTCCAGAGATTAAATTGGAGCCACATGAAGTAGATCAGTTCCTGAACCTGTCTTCTAAGGAAGGTTTGTTAATTACCAATCCAAGATGCTGGACTGATAGCCAGAATGCAGAATGATCATAGTGTGCTCTGTTGAACTATTTGGCTTTCTAGCCATCTTTGCTAATCTCCAGACCAAGGCTGCTGTCTCCTAGGGATTTGATTCAGGCTGCTAAAGAAACCAGCCTCTTTGACCCACTTAGGATCATTTTCTGTATGAATTTTTTTTTATTTCTATCTATAATGTATTACTGATTGCACAGTTACTGGATAGAACTAGAATCCTTGAAACCCAGGATTACTTAGCCTGGAAAAGAGGTAAACTTGAGGGGACTTGATTGAGGTGTTTGGAATTATGAAGCGCATAGCAGAAACTGACTCTTCCTACTTTGTATCTTAACACAAGAACAGCCATACAGAGTCAGACCAATGGCCCATCTAGCCCAGTGTCCTGTCTTCTGACAGTATGGCCGGCACTGTGGGACAAGTTTATATTGCTGTTACCTGTGCTGTACTACTCTGGATGAATTAAAAATTCAGTGATGAGGGCTATCTGTCTGGTGCCTTCCAGTAGCACCAAACTACTAAACCCTCCAAACAATCTGCTGTTAGATTGTCAACTCTTCAGGGCAGGGACTGGCTCTTTCCTCCCTGTTCATACAGTGTCTGTTGTGGATGCCACGGAAAACAAAGAACAAATAGTTGTTGTTAATACACAGTGAAGTTAGAATTGAATTAGTAATAAAAGAGATGGTAGATATTTTGCTGACTTAGCAGAGTTTAAGCACTGGCTGGATGCTGTCTCCATTAATACTGCTTCATGAGTGAAGGGGATATCACATATCGGAGGAGTGTACTTTGTACCACAGTGCATTCGGGGAGGAAGTAGAAATTCCCAGACCTAGTACCATGTATGCAGAGTCTTTTAACCCTGCTCCTTAGAGGGATGAGCCATTGGGAAAGGTCACGTCATACGTTTCAAACCCTTAATTAAGTGCTGTACAGCTGGAAGGCTGGGGCAGCTGCACATTCACAAGTCTCCCCTTGAGAATCTTTCTCACTCCAGGGCCTTCAGAACAAGTTGTTCTCAGTGCTAACTTGCCTCTAGTTTTAAACCTACTTTTATTTGTTGGTTCTCCTGGAGCTTCCAATTGCGCTCTCATTAGGATAAACACCTTCTGTTTTGTTTCTCCTATCCCATCAGCAATGGATCCACTGCACCTGCCTCCAACCCCTCCCAGCAGCCATGGCAGTGACTCTGAGGGAGGGCAAAGCCCAACCAGGTCCCTCCCACCTTCAAGCCCTGTCCAACTACAAGCCACAGCTAAAGTGACATCACGCATGGCTTCAGCACTCTCCAATTCGCCTCTCCTGACAGCACCACATGTAAGTCATGGTGACTTTTTTCCAATTTTTTTTTTTGTTACCTGGTGTTTTACTTTTTCTGTACTTCCAGTTTGTTGTTATCCCTTTTGGGGAGCCTCTCAGACTTTGGCTGAAACTCCAGATCAAGCAGTTGGGCTTTGGCTTCCCCACTGATTGTCTGGAGCTGGAGTCTGAAGTGAAAGGATATCTTATGTAACAAGCTTTTCCTTTATACCTTCTTGCAGCTACTACTCTGCTCTGATAGATTAATGACCCATGCAATCACCTGCATCACAGTTGATGTCTTGCTACTTTGTCTTTAGGCAGTAGGTGATCAACTCTAGGGTGGGATTTTCATAAGTACTCATCATTGGTTGGTTCTCAAATTGTGGGTCGGGACCCCAAAGTGGGGTCACCAGTGCTGGCGTTAGATTTGCCAGGGCCAATGCCTTACAGCACAACTGTGCTAGGATCCACTAATCTGGGTGCGTTTCCTATTTTCTTTGCCTCTCCCCACCCCTCATCCCTTTGGTACATGCAGAAATTGCAGGGGACTGGTCCACTGATCTTGACGGAGGAAGAGAAGAGGACGCTGATAGCTGAGGGGTACCCTATTCCTACAAAACTGCCCCTGACAAAGGCAGAGGAAAAAGCACTGAAGAAAATCCGCAGGAAAATAAAGAACAAGGTAATTTTAAGCTGGAGCTCTGCTGAATGGTCCCCTCTCATGTCTCATACAAAAAGGCTACAACAGTTCTACAAAAGCAGCCAATAATACTTTTGTATTTTTTAATAAAGATACTCTTCCTTCTATCCCCTGCTACGTACCACTTAGGTACTGACTAGATGGGTAATTAATCTCTGTCCAGGTACTTATTTTGCTCATCACCATAGCATCTGAGTAGCAATTAAAGCTAACACAATTGTAAAGATATTAATTTATGCCTACATTAGGTGCTAGTGGTGTATGAAATCATGTCAGCTAACTCCATTTAAAGAAAGCCACCCCCTTTTTACCTTGTCTAGACAAGGCCTCTGTGTCCCCTCTATCTGGTGAGGGAGACTTCTACCCACCATTTTCATGTTTCTAAATCCTCTGTGCATCACAGTGCCATATTTTTCATTCAGTACAATTCCAGGGCCTTAAATTAGCTATTTTATGTCAGGACTCTCTGAAATATCCTAAGTGCCTTGCTTTTCCTGCAGCAAGGGAAATGGTTGGCTAGAAGGGCAAGTTTTCCAACCTGACCACCTAAATTGTCCTTGCACAGATCTTGCACACCCTCAGGTATTTTGCAGGTGCACAGGGGCTTGTATTAGTTATCCAGCATTAAAAATGGAGCCTGGTGTGTTTGTAAACCCCTGTCCCATCCCTGCCTCTGAATTTTTTCTCTGAGAAGTCTGAGTGTTGATGTAGTGTAGAAGGTAAAGAGAATTAGAGCGGGGGAGTGACTTTACTGCTTTTGTTAAGACTGTATTTGCACTAGGATGGGGAATTGGCAAGGAAATTCTAGAGCTGATTGCCAAGGGGAAAAAAATAAAGCAGAACGGCAAGCAGACTTGGATTTAATAATGCCGATGTTTTCAACCAGTTTATTGATTTACTTGTGGCTTCCTTTTGCTATAAAGATGTTTTGTGTGGGGTTTTCCCGTCCCTCTTAGATCTCTGCCCAGGAAAGTAGGAGAAAGAAGAAAGAATACATGGACAGCCTGGAAAAAAAGTAAGCCAGCCTTCCTCCCCTTTCAAATGAACCAATGAGACAGTTGCTGCGATGGGAGGATTGATACTGTGAGTGTTTCCTGCAGAATGTGTTTCAGTTGCCACCTAGTGGTGGCTACAGGCAGAATTTATCTCCAGGAAAGGGTTTTTTTGGGTTCTACAGATCGTGTATTTATGATTACTGTTGAGCAAATATTACTGTGTCAACACTTGGTACTTTGTAGTAGGTCTTCTGATGTTAACATAGCATTGAAGAAACTGGTTCCTACTTTCTGAGGTTGGTTCGTCACACAAACCTAGAGTGATCAGCTATTCTGCCTTACCTGAAAAGTCCTGCGTTTGTTGAGGATATCCTTGTGCCTCAAATGAGTATCTTGAAGCCAGGATATTGGCCTAGTTTCAATATAATCCATGATTTCTTCCTCCCCCCCGCCCCCCCAACCAGCAGCCTGCTGTGCTCCCCTTCCTGTTGTACAGCTGCCTAGCTACTTTTGTGCAGAACCTTCATTTTACACCTGCCACCTTCCTCCAACGATTTGTGAATGAGCTAACGCAAAAAGAGCCCAGGCCAAATCCCGGTACCATGCTAACAGATCTAGTTAGTTGGATTTTAAATAAGCTAAAACAAATTAATATATGTCCATGGCTGTGTTTCAGTATTCGATATGCGACATGGCTACATAGCATGATTTTCATGGTTCGCTCGGCAGGCAGTGTCCAGGCCAAGTTGGGCTCCGAATGAATAAATTCCTTTTCTTAAGATGGTGGGGACAGAGGCAGGAATAGGTATAAAGGAGGAGTTGAAATCGGAAGTGGAGAAGGAGCATGTTAGCAGTCTGCTTTAGCAAGAAGCATCAAATCCTCCTGTAGAGACTTGTGCCCCAAATTAGTCCCTCTCCCAAGTATCCTGAATCTTTCCTCATCTCTCCTTGTGCCCTTGGCCAGATGGGCCTGACCCCTATCTGCTAAACTCCTTGCACCTCCTTTGGTGAATCCCCCAACTCAGTTTCCCCCTGCTCTTCCAGTCTCCAGCTGAAAGTCTTGCACTCCCAGGGCAAACCCCTGAAAACCTCTTTCCCATCCACCCCCATCACACGCCCAAACACATGGCAAAGCTCTCCCATGTGCACCTTCCCCCTCCACTAAGAGACTGCGATGGGAGTCTGGTTTGTCTGTTTGAGAGTCTGGTCACCTTACTCACACTACCAAACATGATGCAATGGGATCTCTTTGGCGATCTCTAATGGCAGCTTGGAAATGACCAGTGTTCTTTGGAAATAAATCTAATGGTTTATTCACGTTGTGAAGGTGAGATGCATGGGCTCTGTGATCTTTCAGGGGTGTCTGTGCTATCCGGGACACAATGTCAGAAATGTGGTTTGCATGAAACGGATGTCTGTCTCATCCTTGCAATCAGAGCTGCGGCACACCATTTAAAATGAATAGGGAGCAGGTGGGGGACAAGAGGTCGAGTCCTGCCCCTGGGGGTGAAATGCAGGGGTCTCGGGTCCTGCCTCTGGGGAGTAGGAAGCCCTCGGAAGGGAGTCGGGATTGTCAGTCTTTCCTCTGAGTAGGGGTAGGCGTGGGGGTGGGGGGCAGTTGCAGAGCGAGCCTGTCCCACAGTCACCCTACAGCGGCTCCAATCCCACAGGACAGGCCCTGCTCTGACCTGTTGGATCTTGCCATGCTTGCAGACTGGGCCCCTCCCTGTCACTTCCTGGCTCTTGTGCCACTAAACTGCCTGCCCCAAGCTGGGCTGTGGCCGCCTGGGCCACAGAAATGCATGCGTGTAGCAGCACTGATTGTCAGAGCTGTTGTGGCAGGTCCATACACCACATGCCTTAGAACACCGATAGTTCCACAGTACTGTTCCTGGAAAGAAAGTCTTCTGGGTAATTTTCAAACATGGAGTCCTGCATGGTGGATGGAACTAGGAGGCTCATCAGGACATCCCGTCTATTCCAGGAAGAAATAACTGTAGTTGATACTGAATGAGTTGGACCTAAGCTAAGAACTCCTCCCAAATGTTACAACTAGCAGGACTCTCAAATACTTGTAAAATGCCTGGGGTAGCAGTTGCAGGGGCTTTTTCAGGTTTGTGTGAGGTCAAAGACTTCAAGATTTGCAACGGTTTGCAGCAATGCTTTTTCACCTAGTATAGAAAGGACCTTAGAACTCTGTTTTTACCCCCTTTGTTGAAGTATAATGGATGCCTGGGGGTTTTAAGTTTGCCTTTCTCTCTTTGTGCCTTCCTCAGGGTTGAGTCCTGTTCAAATGAAAATAGTGAGCTGCGTAAGAAAGTGGAAGTCCTGGAGAACACAAACAGGTAGGATCTGAAAGGACAACTGGAACATGCTTCCAAAATGAAAAGTGGGAAATCTGGAAAAGAAGGGATCAAATACCAGAGCAGTGGACAATGACTCATGCAAAATGGATCCATCTGATCTGGTTAATGACAAAGATGGGGGAGGTAAAATATGTAAAAAGACTGGCATGGTGGCTGAGTGCTCAATATAATATGAAAGAGCTTGGGTTTGACGCTTAGGTCTGAGTGTTCTCCCTAGGCTGGTAAGAATTGCGAGTTCTTCATGTCACTCTTCAGCAAGCGTCTGGACTGATCTAGGAGCGATATTGATGGACTAGCAAAGAAGTCTCATCAAGCCCTCTTCGACTAGTGGAAGACTGGTCTGACGCGAGACCTTGGAAAGGAGAGGCCCTAACCTGGAGTGTAAGGCTGCAGTGGAGCCCTGATGCATAGATCTAGAGCCCTTAGTAGTTAGTTCTTCTGGGATTGCTACTTATCATTATAACTACCATACATCTTTCTAAGGCGCCCATCACCATAGCATCTATATCAGTTTAGCAATGCACTTTCTTTTGAGAGAAAACCAATTTCTCACCCCTCTCAGCTCATTTAGAAGCAGTTGTAGGTGAATCCAAGTGGTTTAGTCAAAAGACAAACAGCTGAGACCATTCCACAGTTTAGTTCTTAAGGGAATGTCAGATAAAAGGAAGACTGATATTTACTTAAAAGATTGGGCCCCGTGTGCATTGTGATTTAAAAGTTAAAAGACCAGAGCTCAACCTGATCTCTGGTGCTGGCAGATTCCACTGAGAATGCCCTGTCCCATCTGAATATATCCCAGATGAGTGTGGTATATATACCTACACGGACACACAGTTGTGGCACTGAAGTGTGGAGGGAGGTGGTCACTGAAATAGCTGAGCTTTAAAGATAAGGCCTAGGACCTAGAAATGGACCTAGAATTTGTCTGGCAGCCAATGTATTGCTCACTGAGTGGCATGTGTGGTTTCTAATCTTCGGATCCAATCTCTAATTTCATGGAGACAGACCCCGTATCACTGTAATTTGCTGGAGAATGTCTCCCACACACTGCTCGTGCATAAAGACATCTGCTGCTTGTTTGGAGAGAGCCAAGCCATTTCTCCCCCCTCCTTTGCCTATCTCCCCACTCTGCCTTACACATGAGAATGTTGGCATTGCTGGATAAGATCAGACCAGGTCCGTCTAATCCAGCATCTGTTTCTGACAGGGGCTGATACCAGCTGTTTCAGAGGAAGGTGCAAGAACTAGGTAGTAGGCAGTTACAGACTACGCTCCCCTTAACAACCCACTGAAAAGGTTCTCACTGAGTAGCCCTTGTCCCCAGGGAAGATAGTTTTACATGTAAGCACAGCCTTCCCCAATGTTAGACACAGCAGGCTTTCCAAAAATCTTGCTCATGTCGTCTGTCCCTCACGCCCAAGGTTGCCTCGTCAAATAATGAAAAGAAGCTCTATTTTTAATAAAACTCTTCAAAGTTTTCCCAAGTTTCTGATGCTCTTAATTCTGAGAGTAAACCCTGAAAGAGCATCTGTTTCTTTAGGTGATGTTATCCCCAAATCCTTTACATCCCAGATATGCAGAATTAGTTGCATAGTTTCCCTTCATCAGTCATGGTGGGGTTTGCCTGTGTCCACTCTGCACATCACTGGTGACAGCATGTAGGGTAGGTGTAGCTACACGCTGTAGTGAAAAGTGGGATGAGTCCATGCTGCGGCTTGTAGTGACGCATGTCAGTGAAAGGCTCTGGCAGCGGAGAAAGCTGTCAGAGCCGTTCTTTGCTGCATCCCCCTCCCCCGCCAGAGCCTTTTCCACACTGCTGGATCCTTTCCCTGTGGCCCATGCAACCTTCATTCTGCCCCTGGAGCATGTTCATCATGGTACAGTCTCTTTAATTAGATGATCGTATTGCCTATGTATTCTCAGGATCCCTGCCTCATTCAGTGAATGAGTAGTTATTCAATATTTCTTTATCTTCCTCATTCAGTGGGTGGCCCCCAGGCCTTTATTTAATGCATACCATGTAAACCCTGGACTGACCATTTCCTCATGGGTGTTTCTATGGTGCCCTCACTGTAGTATCAGAGTCCTTCAGAACACTAATTACACCTCACCTCTGTGAGGGGAGATGGTAGTATTATTCCAGGAAACTGAGGCACGGAGACTTATTTATATTACTGTAGCATCTAGACCAGGGGTCGGCAAGTGGTGTGCTGAATCTTCATTTATTCATTCTAATTTAAGGTTTTGCGTGCCAGTAATACATTTTAATGTTTTTAGAAGGTCTCTTTCTATAAGTTTATAATATAGAACTAAACTATTGTTGTATGTAAAGTAAATAAGGTTTTTAAAATGTTTAAGACGCTTCATTTAAAATTAAATTAAAATGCAGAGCCCCCCGGACCGGTGGCCAGGACCCGGGCAGTGTGAGTGCCACTGCAAATCAGCTCGCGTGCCGCCTTCGGCGCGCGTGCCATAGGTTGCCTACCCCTGATCTAGACGCTTCTGTCATGGGCCAGGACCTCCTGGGGCTAGGTGTACAGACACAGAACAAAATGATGGTCACAGCCCCAAAGAGTTTACCGTCTAAGTATAAGACCAGAGACAACGGATGGATACGGACAGATGGGGAAGTACAAGTGAGACGGTACTGATCTGCATGGTAGGCAGTGATCTCAGGATGTCAGCAGCCTAACTGTTTTAGGTTTTTTGTAGGCGTCCTGGTGAAGGCGAGTTTTGAGGAGGGATTTGAAGGTGGATAATGAGGCAGCTTTGCAGATGTTTACAGGGAGAAATGCTCAAGTGCTTGGGGCAGCACAGGAGAAAAATATTTGTTTGAAAATGACCCTCCAGGGTCAAATGGAGGCCAGCATTGACAGCTCAGTAGCAAATGAGAGATGATAGGTAAGGTGAGGATAGGCCAGGAAGGTGTAAGAAGGAATTAAGAGCATCAGAAAGTTGAGAGTGAAGACCAGTAGCTTATGTTTGATATAATAGAAAAGCAGGAGCCAGTGGAGGAATTCAAAGGGGGGAGTGGTATTGGTCAAAGTGGCGGGCTAGGGAAACCATCTTTGTGACTAGATCTGAGCAAGGCAAGATTGTGTTTGTCAGGGCTAGAGAGAGAGATGTAGGAATGGAGGCATGAGATGATGAGAGCTTGGACAAGACTTTTAGCTATGTGGATGGATAGGAAAGGCTGTATATTAGAGATGTTACAGAGAGAGAATATGCAAGATTTAGACATAACGTGGATGTGAAGGACTAGAGAGAGAGGTAAGGGTCAGATGACACCCAGGTTATGGGCCTGAGCGACAGGCAGGATAGTGGTGTTATCCACGATGAAGTTTAATCCACGGGGAAGATTAGGAGCTCTGTTTTAACCATGTTTAGCTTGAGCTGGCAGTTAGACATCCCCAAGGAGATGTTTGAGACACAGGCTAAGATTTTAATTCTGTGGTAGGGATGTATAATATTAAACAGTTAACTGATAAGTATTAATCTTACTGTTAACCCACCCTAACTGATAACCCCCTGTGCGTGGGTCTCGAACCAATTCTTCTGCCCAAGCCGTCCCGGGCCCTGCTGGCCAACCTCAGCCCCAGTCAGCCCCGGGGGCTTTGCGGGGGATGGCCAGCCGGGCAGGGGGAGAGCATTTAGGCTGGGGTGGGTGGGCAGGGGCTGGGGGCCCCCATTGGGGGAGGGTAAAGTAGTCCCTGGCCTCCCCCTGTGCCACTGGAAGGGGTTTGGCTGCGGAGGTGGACAGTGCGCAGGGAAGGGAAGCTGCTGCTGGGGTGGCATGGAGCGTCTGCGGAAGCCGCATCGGGACAAAGTAGGTACCTGGGGCCCCTCTCTCCCTTTAATCAGTTAACCAGTTAAATTATATAATTTTAATAGTTAAACGGTTTTTACATCCCTAATTTGTGGAAGGGAGGTAGATCTGTGAGTGGTCAGCATAGACATGGTAGTCTAATTTGTGTTTATGGATGAGATTACACAGAGATAAGGTATAGAGGGAGAAGAGAAGGGGATGAAGGACCGAGCCTTATGGAGCTCCCTCAGAAAGCTGATGAAGGATCCTGCGAAAGACGTGCTGAAGGAGGAACTGGAGAGGTAGAAGGAGAACCAGGACAGCACAGAGTTATGGAAGTCAAGGGAGTGCAGGATTCCATTGGGTTAGGCGCGGTACAAAGTAAGAGACCGTCCTAGTGCCGAAGAGCTTCAATAGACAAGACAAAGGATGGGGGAGGAAACAGGCATAAGGATGGTGTGGGAGAAGTGACTGGCTTAAAGTCGCAAAGGAGGCCAGTGACTGAGCTGGGAATAGAATCCCATAGACCGTGCTGCCTCCTCCACAACAGCATGCAGTCAGACTGGAGGACACAGATATTTGGGGTTAAAAAGAGTATTGAAAAAATAGGATTTACCTGTATTAGATGAGAGAAGAAATAGGATATTTATGACTGATTATTTTCCCAGAGAAGTAATAGAAATTGGATCCTATTTAAAATGTGCCTCACCAGTTCTATGGATAAGGTGACCAGATGTCCTAATTTTGGGGTCTTTTTCTTATATAGGCTCCTATTACCCCCCCCCCATCCCCACCCCCGTTCCGATTTTTCACACTTGCTGTCTGGTCACCCTATGTATGGATTACTTTTGTGCTGTGTGTGCAAACTGAACAAGGAAATGGTGACAGTACAGAGACTGGTTTTCACAACCTCTTGCTTGTACATGGATCAGGAATGATAGGATTGCCAGGGGAAACAACAACAACAGAAAGCAAGCTGTGCCGCTTTCCAACCTGAGATCACTTTTGGAAGGTAGTGGTTTTATAAAATAAAATCTGGTGGCTCTTTATTGGATGCTAAGAATAGTCCATTGAGGCCCTGCTTCTGCTCCCACTGAGGTCAATGGTAAAACTTCCATTGATTTCCGTGGTGCAGTGTCAGGTAAGTGTGAGAGATATGGGGCATTGCAAGAGCTGAAACAGCAATAGAGTTGCCGAGTCTTATTGATCTGCATGGTAATTCCTTCAACTGGGATTATAAACTTATTTTACAGTATGCCCTGTGGGTGACGGAGGACTTGGCTGTGTTTTTCAATGAGACATTTTAAAAATCTTTCTTCTTTGAAATCTCTCTAAAAAAACTGACACAGCTTGAGAGCCCTGGAACAACCACTTGTTTTTAACAGAGCAGGTCAATGTGTTTGCACTGAAACTTTTTTTTTTTTTTTTTTGGTGAGGGGGTGGTGTTGGTGAAAAAATGGCTTCTTGACCTAAATTTTTCCACAGACATTTTCAATTTCCTTTTGGTAGAAACTTTCTGGTTATTGATGGAAAAACTGTAAAGAGTCACTTTTGTTTTTTTCTCTTCCGAAGGGAGAAAGGGGTGTGTGTGGAAATGGAGAATAGTGGAGGACCGCAAGTTTTCAAAAAATGAAAACGGAAAAAATCAGTTTTTGTTTTGTCAAAAAAAAGGAGAAATTCTGTGAAAAAACTTGCACGCAGCAAACAGTTTGTTTTGTTTTGCTGAAAGTATATAGCACTCTGTGAGCAATGCTAGCTTTTAAATGTAAAGGCCAGATTCCAAAAGCCTGCCGGGCAGGGAGATCCTGCAATGACCCAGATTTCATGCTCATGCCCTACAGCAAGTCTTGTTCAGGAGAGGGTGGTGGTGAAGCCTTGGATTGCACCCATTCTCAGTTGTTAAAGGAACCCTTTTTGGAAAGTAACCTACCTATATAAAAACACAAATTAGACATCACAGGCTGGAGTGGATTTTCCAGCAAGACTAGAAGGGAGAGGGAATCCCTCAGTTACTTTACAGCTTTCCTGTGAGGCACTTCCATTGGCAGGGAAAGCGTGAAAGCACATTCACACCTCCTACCAGGAGGTGACCCTCTAATTGAATATCATCAGGAAATGTGTCAGACAGAGTGAGATTAATCCCAGGGTGCAACCCCCTTATCTACATTGCCTTAAGATTTCATTTTCTCCTGTTAAAATTCAGCCATAAGCAATATATTTCACTAAAAGCATTCTTGACCTTCCTTCAGATGTTCAGCGGAGGCCTCTTGGCATAAAATGCCCTTGTTCTTAAAGTTCCTCTTTCTCCCTTTCTCCAGTTTTCATTAGCACATCTCACCCCAATGGTAATAATACTGAAGGTAACTTTTCAATGGGAGAGGAGGCATTTTGACCTTCAACTATCTCTTTCAGTTTTTTGGACCGAACTCTAGAAAAGAAGTACGGAAGAGTGTTTTTTGTGGGGGGCAAGAGGGATAGCCATGTTGCCTCCAAACAAATGAATTCCAGCCTTCTCTTGCCTCAGTTCCTTGTTCTTAGCTTGAAAATGCATCATGAGTATTTTAACTCCCAACATTGAATTCTTTACTGTGGTGAAAGAGACAGTGGCCTTGATTCTCTACTCATGCCAGGGTAAATAGGGAGTCACTTTGTTGACTTCAAAAAGGCTACGCCTGATTTTTCACCAGTGTAAATGAGGCCCAGTTTAGAGATGTTTGAAGATTTGTGGTCATGTGGTGGAACTTATAAGTACTTGTTTACTTTCAGTACGAAGTACCCACACCTTGTGTAGTTGGTAAATAACTTGGACCATATCTTACTCCCCACTTCCTTGGCCATGAAGGGCCCAAGATATAGTGGAACCGATATAGTTACACTGCTTGGGCGGGGGGGTGGGGTGGGGAGAAGACACATTTGAGGAGCATAGCATCTTGGAGTCCAGGTCTTTGGGGGATCTCTGCACAGCAATGCTTGGGCTGGACAGGGAGGGCAGAGAGGAGAAATTTTAGTGGATTTGCCACTATGCAGATCCACCTGCCATTTCCTTTCCAACAGCCATCTCCACCTCCTCCCCCAAATTCCCCAGAGCAGCAAGAGCTGTTGCTATTGCAAGGCTTCTGTTGCTATCTCAGGACTGCAGTAGCAGGCCCAGAGCTGGAAGGAAAATTTCTTTCTGAAACTCCTCTGGAACCCTGGTGCACCAAGCCCAGCTACCCTGTCTTGGTACACGGGGAGGATTTGGTCATCTGTCACTACAGTGATTATACATGCCAAGGTTCAAAAAGCCTTCCCATGAAATGTGTACACTGATTTAGAAGATGGGAATAGCCATACACAGTATGCATTTACCTTTTAAGGAAAGCTGCTTGTGTGACGCACACATGCTGTGTAACAGTATTATTGAGTAGTTGGTGTGGCCTCTTTCATCTGAATTGAAATGGCTCTTGAGTTGCTCCTACTGTAGATAAGGAACAGAAAGAGGACAACCAATTTTTATTTTACACCCGGATGTGGAACAAACCATATTTTCAACAGTGTATTAGACACCCTTGTGAAAGTTGGGAAGGATCTGCTGGCCCAGATAAATCTGTACTGGGAGTATTCCTTGTACTAATTTCAGACTCCACTTCTGAAGTCCTTGAAATCATTCTACCTTAATTAACAATAATCATTGATTAAAAAAGTCTATAATAGACAGGTGAGTGTATTTTGAGCTGCAAAGGCACCTCTGGGTCTGTCCTACAACTGGCTTGTAATAACTTGGTTTTAAAATAATTCTTTTCTATCTCTCTTGCTCCAGCATTTTTGACATCGCAGCCTTTAAAGCTGTTGGGGGTTGCCATGTATATTTGTCATGAGGCCTCAAGTTCTCTTATAAGTGAAATGAAACACAGAAATGGGATTGAGCTGCAAAGTTAGGATCCAGGGTCAAACTTCTCTAAAGGTTTTTGTGTGTGTCTGAAGTAGAGCATTTGGTAGTCCAACTCTTTTGAAAAGCATTTGTCAGAACACAATGGGAACAGTTTGGAGAGACCCAAATCAGTAATGGAATGTGATTGAGCAGGCTTAAAAATAGACACTTAACTATAGTTTGAGATCGGTTCCTATTTCACTTTTAAACGGCCAGTACTCAAATTCATGGACTGTTGTCCCTGCAGCAGTTGATCATACCTTTTACACTAAGCAGAGAGCCAGGAGGGTAGAAAGTGCTGTTCTTGGCTGGGACTCTTATGTTTGTCCAGCACAATAGGGCCTCCATTGTGGTTGGGACCTGTAAGAATGATTGTAATAGCAACATAGGGCTGTGATTTCATCAGCTCTTGGAGGATGGAAGACTTAATAGGTAACCTTAGGAGGAAGTAACATTAGATATTTTATTTAAAACAAATGTATGGGAAGATAAGTCTGAACGTATTACAAGTTTTGAGATCTAAAGGCATTTTATTTACAAAAGCTTTCCAATTTATCTTAAGGGCCAGATTTTCAGAAATGTGTGTGCACAGCTTCACAATTGATTAGGGTAATTGTGGACCTGATCCTATACCTATTAGTCAATGGCAAAATTCCTGTTGCAGTCATGGCACAAAATCAGATCAAATGTGCAGCTGGTCATCTGTGAATGTAACAGTTTCAACTGCATGTATATACATGGTAATCCTGCTCCCATTCTTCTGAAAATCTGATCCTTCCTGGATGAACAAATAGGAGCCTCAAAAGTAGGAAGTAAAGTAGTTGGTGGGAATGTTTGGGGAAGAATGAAACTGACATCAGTTGTGGAAAAACAAAGTACTCCTTGAAAAGTATAATGTGATTGTGCACTATATTTTGGAAAATTAGTGCAGCCATTCCTTGCCTCTGACTTTTAACTAGCTGCACCTGCGTGTAAATGTTTACTGCTAGTAAGGCACAGAGATCAAGGTGAAAAGCTGTATGATCATATGGTCTGAGGTATGTAAATCTACTGGTTAATATTGATGGCTGTGTTACTCTTGACATTCCAGAACTCTTCTGCAGCAGTTACAGAGACTCCAAGCCATGGTTGCTGGCAAAGTGTCCCGTTCCTGTAAAGCAGCCAGCACGCAGACAGGGACCTGTCTCATGGTGAGTGACTCAAAAGTTGGGGACCACAGGCAGCGGTTGCTAAAACCACTGGTCCCTGGCTCAGCTCATGTCTGTCTCCCAACTCCATTGGATAATGGTACTGCAGGGTTGAAAAAAGAGGTGGGAGCAGCGGTCAGCTTCGTGCTAGCAGCTGGAAGCTTTGGGAAGTCATGAATACAGAGGCAGCCTGGGATGTGTGTGGATTTTTGTTGCTGAAGGGTACTCCACCCATTCTGTTCAGCCCATCAGTCTGAAAGCCCAGAGGGTGGGAAGTGTCTCTTGTCAAGAATTAACAATGAAATGTATCATAAAGTTCTGAATTACTTTGGGGATTTCTGATAGATAGCACCTTGCTGAAAAGAAGCCTAATTTGTGGCCATCATAGCATGGGATCTTCCTATCTAAGAGACCACCTCTCCCCCCCCAGACATACTGCCACAGTCATGATCCTTGGGGGCATTCCCACTTGGTATAAAACCGGAGGGGGGGAGGGCTGCTGGTGGAGTGTTCTCTGTGGGGACCCCTTTCCTTTGGAATGTACTCATGTCAGACCTGGGGCTGCAAGAGCACAAGACTGTTGACTTTCCAGGCCCTCTACAAAGTCCATCTGTTTGAGCAGGCATTGGCAAGGGGTGTGAGGATGGAATTACTGTCATCTGGAAGTGTGTGGTTTGCAGGAGGTAAACTGTCTCAGGGTGTTTCTTGATGATTAGATGAAGTGCCCCCATGGAGGCAATGGAGCATGGCGCGAGGGAGGTCAGTCCCCGGAGCGAGGGGCCAGCCAGAGGCAATGGGGCATGGCAGGGGTGGCCCCGCTCCACCCAGTGCGAGGGCACTATTTACAAACCGGCAGTTGCCAGACCAGGGCCGGCTCTAGGATTTTTGCCGCCCCAAGCAGAAACAATTTTGGCCGCCGCCCCTGTTTTTTTCTTATCCCACCCCCGGCCCCGCCTCAGCTCCGCCCCTTCCCCAAATCTCCAGCCCTGCCTCCTCCCCCCAGGCTCTCAAGCCTAGGAGGGAGGGGGAGAAGCGGCACGCACGCCGTGGCCACTCGGAGTCTCCCCCTCCCTCCCAGGTTTGAGAGCCTGGGAGGGAGGGGGAGCAGCGGCGCGCGAATCAGCTGTCACGGGGCGCGAGCGGCAGCAGCGGAGGTGAGCTAGGGCGGCCGGGGCACATTTTTAGGGGCGGCATTCTGGCGCCGGCCATGCCGCCCCTAAAAATGTGCCGCCCCAAGCACCAGCTTGTTTTGCTGGTGCCTAGAGCCGGCCCTGTGCCAGACGCACAGTGGCCTGCCTGGCTCTGTGCTGCCAGCGTGCCCCTTCCCCTCAGAGGCAGGCCCATGCCACACCACACAGCCTCTCCCCCTCCCCCCCAGCCCAACACCCCCCGATTCCCTATGGCCAGAATTCCCCCCGACCCACTATGTCCAGCGCCCCCCCATACCCACCCACAAATGCACAGTGCCCTGCACAACACCACCCCGGCCCACAGCCCCACCACAACTGCCCAGCACCCCCCACAAAACCCCCACTCCCTAGTGCCCCAACACACACATCCTTCCCACCCCCTCACAGCCCAGCACCCTCCTGACTCCCCACAGACCCACTCCCCCAACCCCTGCCTCCTGGCCACACTCACTGGCCCTGCTGGGAGGTGACTGTGTCTGCTGGGCTGAGCCGGCAGCACAGCTAGGGCCGGGAACTGCTCCATCCCCTTGGGAGTGGCGTGATCAGCTAGGCCAGGACCTGCCCCGGCCAGGCTCCCTCAAGCCACACTTGCCTGGAGGAGCCCAGCCAAGCTCCCCGCACTGTTTTTCCCTCCCCCTTCCCCCCCCACACCTGGCTGAGGCTGGCCAGGCTTCTGCACCAGTCCCAGGCGGCTCAGCTCTGGGGAGATAGGTGGGGCCCCACAGGTGGTGGGAAGCAGAGACTGCTGGGAGCCAGAGGTGCCCCAAGGTTTGGCTAGGGGGCTGAGAGGAGCAGGGGATGGGGCCAGGGGGCAGAGAGGAGCCCTTGGCCAGCTGGCGGGCAGGCCGAGAGAAGCAAATGGTGGGCGGGGGGAGCCAGTGGGGTCTCGGGGCGCAGTGCAAGCGGAGCAGGCCGGGGCCCCTTCTGAGCATGGGCCCGGCTCCATAGAGCCACTGGAGCCATTGTAAACCCGGCACTGCCCTTTCCAACTTCCAAATAAAGAAGTTCAGCAGAATAAAATGGCTGCAGGTCTTTAAAATAGACTCTTGCATTGAAATCTTCCTTTTAAATATTGAATTGTTATTGTCCATGCATCTTTGATTAGGGGCATCATATATATTAACCAAAAAGTAGCCTGGAATCAATATTTTAAAAAAAGATTACAGCAGTTGTGACTTGCCATTGCTTTAACCTTAATTCCCATGTATTTGTGTTCAAAGAGTGAGATTGCTTTTGTTTTTGCTTTTTTCCTTGTCCAGGTGGTGGTGCTGTGCTTCGCAGGCATTTTTGGCAGCTTCTCTCAGAGTTACGGGCCCTATCCTCCTGCCACAAAGATGGTGCTGCCCAGCCAGCATTCCACACCAGAGTCCTACACAGCCTCCATTGGTAAGCTAAGTCAGTGCTGCCCTTTGCTTGATGACTCACTCCCCCACAAGTTCCCCTTTGCATTTTTGTGGGAGTCCAGTGCACACCGCCTACTCTTCCCTTCCCAGTAGCTGTGTTCCCCACATTGTGGTTGTCATTTTTCTGGCTGAGGGCAGGATGGGAATTTTCCTTTAGATCCTCTCAACATATCTTCTTGCACAACCTGGAAAAGGGCATTGCTGACATTCAGGAAATGTTCCTTTCTCCCCCGCCTCTTTGAGGATGAGAACCGCAGGCTCCTACTCACCAGCCTCTTGTCTCACTCCAGGGCCACATCCAAAACAATAATAAAGTCTGACCTCTAGTGGTTTTGAGGTGTTGGTGTTTTTGCATTATAGAAATGCAAGTGTATCGAGTCGGTTGAAAAAGTTCAATGGCTGGGTTACCCATGCTGTTGGTGAAACGCATCATGAAGGGATGGAGGAGTCCATTGCTCCCCAACCTACTTGATAGTTCCAGTCAGGCTTCTGTGTGTCAGCCGCAGGCATCAGACTCATAGCTCCCAAAAGATTCCAGGTGAACTTGGCCTCAGTTCACTTCCAAGTGGCAAATTCACATTGCCAAAAAACCTCCAACACAGCTGATATCCATTGCCTTTCTGTTGGCAGTGTCAGAGGCCAAGGATTGAGTGGGGCACCGGGATGGAAGTAGATGCTAGCTGTCTCCGATAACTATTACGTTAAAATAGAGCCTGTCACCATGGTATCTGAGTGTTTACCCCAGAAGTCATCCCTCCAGTTCTGGCACAGTGGCTGGACAAGTGGGGAAGGACCCTTGCATGGCCAGTGCTCATATTGCACTTGCTGTGGGCGTACATGGCGGGCTGTCAGTGCAGCATCTTTCCCTAGCTCCAAAATTTCTAGTTAATCTCCATGGGTAGCAAAATCCTGTGCAGCTAGATTTACTGTGTTTATATTTGTCCACTTTCAAATCCCCAAATGTCCAGTGCCCTTATATCTGGGCTCACTGTGTTTCTCATTTAGTTTCTGCCTCCCCTATTTGTACACAGTACGGTCAAGAAGTCTGCTAATTTACGAAGAGCCCCGCCAACTGGAGGAGCAGTACAGTTCAATCTCCTTTGCAGATCGCAGTGATGCCTGGGATAGGCGCGTGGACGCCTCCAAATACACAGCACTATCTCTGGAATCTGTGCCGGGGGCACAGCAGGATAAAGTCACACACTTCACAATAGCCAATGAGACAAGGCTAGAGAAATCAGTGGTGCTGGGGCTGCAGCCGCACAGGTGAGTGCAGAGGAAGCAGGCCTAGGCATGAGTTGCATGAAATTCCTTGTTGCATGTTTCCTGGACAATTATTTGTATTACTGTTGTGCACAGAGGCCCCCAGTCAAGATCAGGGCCCCATTGTACTAGGCATTGTACGAACACCTAGTGAGAGACCGTCCCTGTCCTGATGTGCTTACAGCCTAGGTAGACAAGACTAAGAGCGGGAAGGGAAACTCAGGCAAGGAGAGGTAACGTGACTTGCCCCAAATCACACAAGTCAGTAGTGGAGCCAAAATTAGAACCTTGGTCTCCTGACTCCCAATCCTATGTCCGATCCACTGGACTATGTTTCCTATCCACGACCATGTGCTTGGAAAGCTGGTAGTTACGCTGTTCCTGCTGAGCCTGGTGTGGGTTCCTTTGACTTATACTAGCTAGAGGGTGGTAGTCTTCTCAAACAACAATTGCAGTATAGATGTCATTTAAGACTGTTACTCTGCCTGTATTAATAAGAGCTCCCTATAGAAAGTTTTAGTGATGACACTGACACAAGACTTTGTGTAATCCACCCTGTCACGGTTCAGGGCATCTGCACCTATATTCCCCCCTCGCTGGTTCACCAAGGGCATCCATGCTTAGGCTTCTGACTCCCCTCTCTTGGGTGGGGAACCACACCTCTCTCCCTCCTGAGCAGTGTATTTCCAGGCTGCACAGTTCTGTGCATACACTGTGAATTCCCTGGCAAAGTCAGACTGCCTAAGCAGGCCTACTTTACTTTTCTCCTCAGATGGTGAACAGCGTAATTACCACAGTTAAGTTACCACACAGTTCTTTCTAAGCAAGCACATTTATTCTTAAGGTACAAGCATATTGGAGAAAACATATTAAAAACAATAAAAGAACCTATATTCATCCTAATAAGCTTACCAGAGGTCATCCCAACTCCAAGAAGAGTGAGTGAACAGTCCTTCAAACCCCATCCAGGGGTTTTCCTGTGACTTACAAGTTCATAATTCCTTTTGCTCAAAACAAGAAGACTCATGAATCTGAGAGCTACTCGTTTATACCATTTGTGCATTTTGATCCTGGGAATAGGTAATTTGTAAACCAAAGTCCCCTTCCCAGGGTGAAGCTTCAAAAAATCAGGTCTGGAGGTTGGCATTTGCATTTCTCCCCCCCCCCCCACCTCCACCCAAGTATGTCCTAGGAACCCTACTCAACTCACTGTCCATTCTTGTCTTAGCCCATTGTTTAAAAGAGTCCTTGGAAGCTCATAAGACTTCCCAGCATTTATATTAGTCTTATCTCCTAGACAGCTTACATACTATCCCACAATAACACACAAACATTTGCATTTTTGATACAGTGAGCTCCTAAGATACTGAAACTTAATTCAGTAAGGTTTAACTTAATTCAGAAAGATTTTGCGGGCAATTACACACAGACACACACGTATAGCGTTATACAAATAATAACTTCTTGGGATGGAAAATATCAGTAAAATATAACCCAGAGGGAGGTGCATTGCCTACGTGCTGAAAGCTGAGGGGAAATGCGCATCATCAAGCAATCTAAAAATATGCAGGCCATGGGGCATTGCCATTTGAATGGCAACATGAGCTTGTGGATTACTAAGATTTCTGACTGGGCGGGTTATGAGGAACTGGGTGCCTTTTGCACTCAAGATGGCTCTACAGTTTGTTGCAGGACAGAGCTGGGAAGATGGAACATGTATTGCTAGAAGGGTCACCCTCAGAAAGTTGCATTGAATTCCTTGTTAAATTCTTTCCTTTAAAATAATGTGAGATTTGGTGCTCCTGGAAAATGACACACTCTGGTTTGAAGAACTGATGTGTGATGTCTTTTCCTTCACTGTACTTCTGCATGCCCTGCCACCACCCTGCTGCTCAAGGCCTGGATCTCTTCAACAGATCCTTTCTATTGTGCCAAATGGGTTTTTATTTGGATACGTCTCTTAAAGCACTAGGATGAGACACCCTGTGCCCCCACCCCCTAACCCCAGCAAATCTATTTTAGCATGAGGTGACTAATTTGATGTGTTACCAAGTTCCAACCAGTGAGCTCCTGGTAAATAACAGGCACTGTAATAGCAATAGCCAGTTTCAGTGGGGTGTGCGCTTTTTGCATGATTGCATACAGGTATAATATTCCTTTTTATTTTTCTCCTCACAGGATCAGCTCAGAGCTGGAAGTGAATGAAACGCTGAAAATAATTGAAATTGATAGACGAGTCAATGCCACTTCTTAAAAAAGAGGCCTTTCCCCACCACATTATCCTCCCTTCTTTCCAACCCAAGCCCCACCCCTTCCTCTGGACTCATCACCATCAGGGAACCAAAGGGCAAAAGAGAGAGAGTCTGCCAACTTCTGATTTGGCTGAAGAGTCTGTGACTTGAGTCAGCAGCAGTTGTCCTCGTTCTGTCCTTTCCTCCGGGCACACAAACCTGCTTCTGCTTTTACTGCTGTCCCTGACTGGTAATACAAGGGTGTACTGGTTGGTTTGTGTGTATATCCTAATCAAGGGGCAGAGCCATGGAATGGAGGATTAGGATAAATGTAACTCACGGGGGAACGTTTGTGGTAGGTCACGTGGGAGAAGGAAACTGAAAGATACAGTGTGACACTGCTCAGGATTTGGCCACAGCTCCATGCCCATCACTCTGGCACACTGGAGCTTTATGGGGAGAGAAATGTGTTCACAGTTCCCATCCCTCCCACTGAGGGCAGAGAACAGACACTAGTCCTATTGAGCCAACAGCACAGACAGGAGAGTCTGTTCAATGGCAGTATTGCTTTTTTTTTTTTTTTTTTCTCTTCTCCCTGCTCTCTCTCTCTCCCCTTTTCCTGCCCCTTTATCACGTGGTGGGTGAAGTTTCCTTACTGTTGCCATCCTTATGAAGGATCCAGGCAAAGTTCAGTCAGCCCATGTGTCTTCTCAGGCCTTGTCTACAATTGCACCAATTTAACTAAATCAGTTTAGAAACTGATTGAGTTTAATCTGTGCGACTCCCTTGTGTGGAAATTTTTAAATAAGATTATGACTAGTATATTGTATCCATTTAGCTTAAGTTGATTCCTTACTGGCATAAACTAAATCAATACTAGGCTCTCTTAAACCAAAATAAGAGCGTCCACATTAGGGGATTGCATGGATTTAATTAAATTAGTTTCTAAATCCATTTAGATACATCGGTGCAGTTTTTTGAGGTAGACAAGGCCTCAGATTGTTCTAGGTTCTTCTTCTTCCCCTGAGCCTCCTGTTACTGTTGTAAATAGTATTTATTAGCTTTCCAAAATTTCCCTCTGGTAGCCAGACTGGAGAGCCAAGCTCCCAAGACCATGCAGGTTTTCTTGGTGAACTTTGAAATCAAGATGGAAAAAATATGCTTTTTTAAAAATTAAACTTAGTTCCCTATAATGATTATTAGACTGTAATGAGGCTCCCCTTCCTCCTCCCTTTTACTAAAAGTACATGGAATTAAAGCAACCGCTTAGGGAAAAAATTGTTGTATGTTCCCAATTAGACGCAGTTCAGGTCAGTGTTGATGGTCTCCCTCTCTAGTTATTTATTATTACAAAACTACCTAGAAGACCAAACCAAGGTCAGGTCCCCATTGTGCGAGGCACTGTACACACACATGATGAGAGACTGTCCCTGTCCCGAAGCTGCTATCCTGGATAGACAAGACAGAAAAAAGATGGGAGGGGGAATAGATACACGGAGAGGGGAAATACCTTGCCCAAGGTCACACAGCTGGTCATTGGTAGAGCCAGGAATAGAATCCAAGTCTCCCGCCTCTCAGTGCAGTACCCTATCCACTAGACCATACTGCTTCTAAAGCACCATGCTGATGCATCTAATGCACACTGCCTCTAGTGCGGTGATTCTCCTTCTCTCTCAATACCCAGATTGTGCCAATGGCAGGGCTGCCCTTCCACTCACAACTGTCCTTTCCGTGATCCAGCCAACCCACCAGTGATTGCTTCTGGGTTTTATTTGGTTATTACAAAGGGTTGCTCAGAGTTCCCAGTGATGGCTTTAGCTTAAAAACCTAAATAGGATAGAATAGTACGGCTACTTTTGCAATTTACCAGGAAAACTCAATTAAAAAAAGATTAAAATGTTTTTTTTAAAAAAAAACCTCTCCTTTTTTACATAAATAAGGAGACCAAACTAGTGTAGCCTTGTGTTTTATACCATGTACAGTAACTCTTTCCTCCAGGTATTCTATTTTGTAAAATATTTTTAAAGAAAAAGTGTATTGTTTTTGTATTTTAGTATAGCCTCTGCAGTGCTTCATCCTTTCCTGTTTGGATTTTTCTTTCTTTAGTCTCCTTCCTTTGTTCACTATCCCATCTGTTCACTATGGGCCTGATCCAAAACCCAGTGAAGTTAATGGAAAGAATCCATTTGGCTTGAGTAGGCTTTGGATCAGTCCCCACTGTACCATGATCAGAAACAACATTCAAATTGGCAAGAGTGGGACATGTGTCCCAATTCCACTAGCAGATAATGGAATTTGGTGTGTACACCTCTTGTGTGCATGACTTTCTAGGTCAAACCCCATTCATCTGTCCAGGTGTCTATTTTAAAAAAAAAAAATTGGTGGCAATGAGAGAGAAATGCCATTGTGAGCATATTCACAGTCAATCCTTTCTTGTCAGTGTGGGTCAGTACCACCCCTAAGGCATATCCCCTCTTATTAAGGGTCAGCCACAACAGCCATGCTAATTCTCCCAGGCTCTCTGGATTGCGCTAGTGCGCACAGACAACCGTCACACAGCTCTCCCTTTGGGAACCCACATTATAACTGCACGATGGAAAGAGGAAGAAAAAGATGGGTGTGAGCGGGGGAGCGTCTGAACTGAGACACAAGTGGTGTCTGCATTATTTTAACCACCTGAGGTCAGCAAAGGGAAGGGGGAAATTTATGACCTGTTAGATTTACCATATTGGCTATCTCCGGGCATCCAAGTACAACCAGGTAGGCATGAGTCAGGGATTAGCAAATTCACGAAAGACCTGATTTACAGAGCATCCCCAGGTCCCCTTGACTTTGAGCGTAACAGTGGGGGCTCAGCATTCCTGAAAAACAGGCCCCAAATTTCTCTTGGGGTTTATTTATATAGCTGTGTATGGAATGTGAATGTGGAGCAGGTGGAGGCTTATCTGTCTAATCTCTCGTGCCCATTACCCTACTTAATGCATGAATGCATTCTCTCCCAGTAAAGAGACACTATTAACGTTACTAATTTAAATAATAATGTACACTATTAAAATAGAGAATTTCCCCAAATCATTGCTAATCACCATTAAAGCCATTTGCTTTTTGCAATTTGCGCAGTTTGGATACACCACACCATTTATGGGGGTTTTATATCTTCATTGATAAAGGTTACTGTCTGAGTCAGGCTACTGGATTAGATGGTCTGATCTATGTATGGATAATATGGAGTACGGCAATTCCTGTGTTCCTATGACCATAAAAATAGCCTCTCTATAGCCCTAATATGTTTGATGCTTAAAATGAAATTTTAACTGTTTTTTGTGGATCTCCTAAACTAGCACAACATTTGGGTTGAAGTCACTGCTGGGGAATATTATTCCTTTAAAATCAACTACTCCTATTGAACCTGAAATGGGTTTCTTCTGTAAGTCCTTTTTCTAGCGATCGGTCACTTGTTTACTCTTGGGTGAAATTCACTCCTGGATATAGGGTCAGCACAAGTTATGCACCACTTAAGTCCCAAGAAATCATCTAAGCCCCACTTTAGCGGTCCCGGACCTCAGGAATTTACGCAGTATATAGCCTTCGTGCTGGTTCTCTGCACAAACACCCTGAAAGCTGCCTGCATGGAACCCTGTTGCCAAACCAATGTTTTACCACACCAGTAAAACCTTGCTTGTCCCCTATAACCTTCAGACATTCCCCGAGCTGTCATCTTTGAGTCTAGGAAGTTAAGCTATGAAGGAAAAGTAGGGCATTATTTTTTAAATACAAATATATATTTATGGAAATCAGGCCCAGGCCATGTGACCGTTCTAATCATGTTAGCATGGAGGGGAGGAGGAAGAGAGAGGTTGGTATGCTATTTATAGTTCTGTTAGTTTCATGTGTGTTCACTATTTGTTCTGTGCAGACTAATATTTTAATACACCAAGGTTCATAGGCCAGATCTCAGCTGGCAGAGTTTCCATTTACACAATTTACATGGAGTAGCTCTGATTTATACCATCTGAGGAACTGGCTCCTGTCACTGGGCCAGGCTTCTCCCCAGCTCCAAAGTATGCGCTGCCATGTCCAGTCTCTTTCAAGGAGGTTTATTTTCTTAATAAACCCAGGTAAACAAACAGGAAAAAAAGAGGCTTAACTCAGTCCTTGCTTTCAGGTTCCAGCTCTACCCCTCTCAGGGATTTCTGGCAGGTTCCCAGTTCTGGCCAGTTCTGCTCCCTCTTGGGGGCAGCAGTCTCAGGGCTGTCTCCCTCAGCCACTGGCCCCCTTGCTCCAGGGGCCCCACCACTGGAGTTTGCTCCACTCTGGTGTGACTTTACCTCCTCCAGATAGGTCACAGCCTGTCTCAATCAATTCCCCCTCCAGCTACCCAGTTAGCAGCCCTTTATAGGCCCAGGTGTAGCTCAGCCCTCTTTAATTGGCTGGATTGGACTCACTGGCTCTGGTCCAGGGCTCAGCCTAACCATAGGGACCAGCTACCCTGTGACACCCCATAGCTTTATCTGCATCAAAATATATTTTTAGACTAAAATTTAACTCTGCCTTCCCTTCCCCTCCCCCCCCCCCCCTTTTTTTTTTGGTAACTCCTATAAAACTGACTTTCAGCAGTGGACATTGTCTAGACACAGTTACAGTGTAGGTCAAATAAATGAGTAATATTAATTGCCACATCACGAGGGATTGCCACAGAGTATTTGGGCTCTAGATTCTAGCTAGTGCCAACAGGCCATTGTACAAGAACAGAAATATAGTTAGTATTTTTATGCTCTGTGACTAAAATATTTCATTCTCCAAGCACTAATTAGAAAGGGAATGTTTTGCATTTTGAAGGTGAAACAGTAGGTCATTGCTTTGGTGATTGGGAAGAAAGCCGTATATTTGAGAGGTGCTTTGTTGAAGTACTCTATACTCTGCAGCTTTGCACTGTAGCTGCACTTACTGTTTCAGTGTTAAGGGCAAATGACTGTTGGGAGTGTGGGAATAAACTGGCCACACAAGTGCATTATAGACATCAATAAATGTATACAGGTTCAGTCAGTGAGTCAATGTGCACACCCAATAATCTTAAGACCCAGGAGATGCACCATGGACATTCAGTCTTAGATTGTGGGTGAGATCCAGGTTAACTGCCTTGCCTCAGTGATAAATTGTATTCAGAGAGACCCTAGACATGAGCCAGGAATTTGTTTTTCCATATGCATATCACCTATCTGCTTTTCTTTATGAAGGCACAGATGTGGTTTTGCCTCCTATCTTCTAAGCCTGTGTTGCTTTGGGTCTTGCAAGAAACTCTCATGAGACTGAAATGGGCCTGTGTTGTGGTTTAGTTACTGCCACCAGTCTCTGCTCTGACCTACAGCCCACTTCCAACCCATCCCTCAAAGAGAGGGAAAGCTGGATTTCCAAAATTGCCTCAAAGGGAGTGGAGTAATTCTGAGATGGAGCAGCAAGGAGAAAATTTCTTCACGCCAAGAAGGAAAATCTTTGTTTGTATAGATTGACACCTCCCCCTTCCCCAATCTTACCTTCTCTCCTTCCTTGCCTTTTTAATTATGTAGCCCTGTGCATGGAGAATAATGGGGCTGACCTTTTCAGTGGATTCCACTTTCTCATGCAACATGGGTAAAATAAATTTCATCTTTTATTGTTCATATAATGGGGTGAGTAAGGACAGACAAGGAGCAGAAGTGGGTGAGTCACAATGAGACTTCTGTTTTAAAATATCTGTGTTTGTATCAGACCATAACTGATTCTGGTACAGTAATGCTGAAGTAATGGAATCCCATCTTCTCAACTGATATAGTTAACTATACTCTGTGTGTGTATTGAGTGATTTTTAAAGACACTTGCAGGAGTTTTCTTAAAATAATAAGCCACTCTAAATAAAGGCTTTTATTCATCTATACATCATCATTTATGTATTTATCTGAACAGCTGGCACACATTCCACTTGGTTCAATAGAAAGTTCCATCTGAACCCCAGTGCAAATGGGATTAGCAGTGGTATTACCTATCTGAAAGCTGTCCTGTCACATTCTGTAAGTGTTCTCTTACTCTGTATAAAGATTTATGTAAGTAGAGCCTGGACTGAACACCAAACCTGCTATAGACAGCTCTGGATAAGTACAGGGAAATGTACCTGGCTTTACCCTAATTAGCCTTTGGGTGTCACTTTTGTTTCATAAAAACAACAAGGAGTCTGGTGGCACCTTAAAGACTAACAGATTTATTTGGGCATGAGCTTTTGTGAGTAAAAACCTCACTTCTTCGGATGCATAGTATAGTTAACTTTTGTTTCATGGAATTACAGCTTCAGCCACTTTTTTTAGGGCTGTAAATTAGAAGGCCATAAGATGTGAAGTCTGGGAGTGACAGTTCAAGGAATACCATTAGTCTTCTGGTACAAGAGCTAAAGGCTCCTCCTTTCCCATGAACACATCCTCTTAACCACGTTAGGCTCAATAAAAAATTAATGCAAAGAATTTTCTTGGGCATATAAAGGGCCATGTAGTGATGAAATTATATCAAATTCAAATTGCAGGTATATTCTAGTCCCCCTGAGTGTTCCAGAGGACAAATTATCTGGAGTCCTCTCCTCTAAAATGAAATACTTCCCTGTGGAGGGTCAGAAATGATGTTTCGGGCCATCCAAACCAATGTCACCCTGCAGGTTACAGCCATGTATCATTTTGATTACTCTCCCTGTATGTGTGCAAATACAGATGACACACATGTTTATGGTTTGCCCATATGCATATTAAACAAAACTATCCATTGTGAAAAAGATGGCCGTTATTTGGGACTGTGCCAGAACAAAATCCACCAAACCCCTCAGTAAACTGTAACAGAGCCTCCTTTGACTTTGCTGACGTCTATGTTCTTTTGCCAAATGTATGTTTAACCGTGTGTGTGCATGTTGGTTAGTCTCTCTTTTTGTAATGACTTCTATACATGCACTGCTCATCTGGATACATTCCCATCTGGTTGTTCACGCTGCAAACATGTCTCTTGGTGTAAAGAAATTGTTTGTTGAATACTACAAGAAAACAATTATTGGAATAAAACTAAAAGCTTTTGTAGGATTATATATATGTAGTTAAGTAAAAACTAAAGTATGTTATGCCTTTTCATTCTTGCAAATAAATATTTTATGTAGAAAAAAAGCAAAAATAGCTCCTTTGTCTTCCCATTTATTTAAAATCCGGTCTCCTCTTGTATTTTGCAAGCACAAGACCATGTGCTGTCTGACTTTTTTTTTTTTTTTTTTAATTAACCTGATTATCTAACATGTCACTGAACTGGAAGAAGATTAAAAGCAGTGATATGTGTATATGTTTTACAGTAACTGTCTGCCCCTTTCTCTTACCAAGATTGCTGAAATTGGAGAATTGGTTTTGTTAATCATGGTAGAGGTGGGATGGTAACATTTTTGTAATATTAATAGCATTTTTATGGAATTATGCAATTTAGCTATGTTAATACTAAATTCATAGATGTATTTAAAAAAAAACTACATTCTGGTAATATTGATTGACTGTCTTGACTTTGGGGATCAGATCTTCACCATGTGTAAGTTGACAGAGTTCCATTGATGTGCCCTGATTTACAAGAGCTGAGGATCTGCCCTTGAATATCCATTGCCTCTGGGATGAATGCTCCAAATCCAGGTTAATACTTTGGCTTTGACATATTCTGTGTTTGAGTGGGTGGATGGATCAAGAACTCCACTGCCTGATCTGAGGGAGACTAAAGCATCCTCGAAAAAAATCTAGATGACATTGCAGATAAAGGTCACGGGCACATGGGCAATGTATCTCTGGCCTTTCTCCTATTTCCGAGGGTCCTCCCCAGCTTGAAGTCTATTCTGACACACATGATATGTACCGGGAAAAATGCACTTTGTTCCTGTGCTGGTTTTCCACCATAATTTTCAAATGGAGGCTGCCATTTTGTTTTTAAAACATTATTCTCGCCTGATTAAGGAACATTCTTTCCCTTCCAAAAGACATCAGGCAGGAGCACTGTGGCAAGTAGCAGCATCCAGCCAGAAGTCTGGTACAAATCAATCAGTATTTCTCTCAGTGAGAGAGGATCACACTGTAGTAGAATAAGTTTCCATTTCTCCTTTCCCAGCTGAGAGCCTCGCTATGGTGACACAGCCAATACATGGAGCTTGGGAATAGACATGCATCATTCAAATATGAAATTAACATTTCCAGGGGAGGTCTTGCCATTGATGTTATTTATGTCACTAACTCTCAACCAAGATCAGGGCCCCACAGTGCTGAGTACTGTACATACACATGTTGTGTACCTAAAGAACTTACTATTTAACTAGAGAGGACAGACAAAAAGTGGAAGAATGGAAGTTATAACCCTCATTGTACAGATGGGAAACAGATAGGGTGACCAGATGTCCTGATTTTATAGGGACAGTCCTGATATTTGAGGCTTTTTCTTATATAGAAGCCTATTACCCCCCACCCCTGTCCCGATTTTTCACACTTGCTGTCTGGTCATCCTAGAAACAGAAGCCGAGACATAACTGGATTTTGTATGGCTCTGTTTTGGGCCACCCTTCTTGACACCTTAAGAGTCTGATTTTCAGAGGGTGGGAGCTTGTAGCTGTCCTGTCTGGCAACTAATATATCTAAACACTTCTGAAAATCTTGACTAGAGAGATGAAATGACCTGCCCAAGGTCATGCAGGCAGTCTGTGGCAAGAATTGGGAAAAGAA